TTAAGTGGAGCTAACAAAATACAATACAGCTGCTTAATTATTAAACCGTACATGTCAACAAGGCTGCTGCTGTCATTAATTACTAACGAGATGCAGACCCCGAATCAAATTGCCAGGCTAGTGTCGGTGGTTAATAAGTAATGGGACGCCATTGGGTGTTTACTGGCTCATATATGGTCAACTGCACTCATTTCTGGATGAATGGCACAGATGTTAAACAGATGCAAACCTCCGGTCAGCAGGTGATAAAAAAAATACTTTATTCTGCAGGAGCTTGACCACAAGGTGGAGGCAAAGTTAATGATTAATGTTTTTTAGTGACAAATGAGACATTTCAGTTATTTGAAAAATCATCTGAGTTTGTGTGTTTGCACACAAATAAAACAAACATGTATTTTCTCTGTAATTTGAATGTTTTATATCTTAATGAATAAAACAAAAAGATCTGCGTTAAAATCCTACCAAATACTAGTTTTAATCCTATGAACCAAAGTTTCTCTGTAGTTTTTTTTAAATTATCAGATAATTTTTGTGTTTTCAACACAAACTGACTCCATAAACGATGTTTCCACCATAATGTGGCAAATGTCTCCACAAAAAAAAAAAAAGCTATTTAATCCTCTCGTCGTGTGGCTTCATGTGTAGAAATGGTTTGTCAAATAAATGTGAGGGCCACTTAGAACAAAAGCATTTTGATTGCTCAACTTAAGGAAAAGTATGATCATCAGAGTATAAACACTAGTTTCAGCAGCAAGTATGTGATTAAGTAATGAGTATGGCAGATAAAGGAAATAAATGATAAGAGATGAAATACAGTAGTTTACGTTTGCAGTTTTCTACATGGAGGCAGAAAACAGGTGCAGTTATACCTGCTCAGAACGCAATATTCTGAATGAAGAAGAAGCACAAATCTAAATTTAAAGACACTACAGACCTCTGCTGTGATTTTGCACAGAATTTCCCTAAATATCAACATGTGTTTATCCAACTCCGCCCACATCCCAGTCGGCCATTTTGATTAGGTCACCAACAGGAAGATGGCTACTCGTTTGGTAGTCTTAGTTGGGGAAAATATGTAAGCATAAGCTCTTCCCAGATGAATCCTATTTTCTTGCCTTTGTGATTGGTCAAAGTAGCCGACACCACAAACCCGTTAGACTGATCTCATTCTAACAATGCAATTTTCGTAGAATTTCATTCATTCATTCCTTTCAGGTCTTAGCAATCCTGGCTCCACTGAGCATAAAGCTCTTTACTAAGCAAAAAATGCTCATTCACCCACATACAGAGGCATTCATAAAGTACGTAAGCTGGACACACAAACACACACGCACACCGCCAAATCTCCTTAGAGTTGTGCTGAGTGGGTTTGGCCTTCTGTGAGCGACTCACGTCTTTCAGCCAATCAGGACCTGCAGGCAGTCAGACCACCTGGAAATCCAGCCCTTCCCGGGTTCACGGGAAGGATGATTTTGGTCAAAGTGCTTTTGTGGAAAACCTGGAGGCATTGCCAGAACTAGTGATGTAAAAAATGGCTGCATGACTTAACTCAAGTTTGATTATATCACCCTCGGTTAAATAATGATTCTGTTTCTTGTATTTCAGTACTTTCTTGTGGCCTAATTTAACTGTAAACACAATTAATTCATTGTAAATATGCATCTATCTATCTATCAATATATATACACACACAACTTCATGTTGGTGCCTATATTTAAAAAAAAAATGTTTTCACTATTTGGCTCAGTTAAATGTTAAAAGCAGGGTCAAGACATTTTTTCATATTCAAAGCTGTTTTAAGATGCTTTTTCCAACTATTTTGGCACAACAGGGCGTCTGAAAAACATTTATCTGTGTCTGAAAGATTTCACGGTGTGGTTTGAAATACCATTGACATAACCATCACAGGGGCGAGGACATAATGAGAAACTCCACTTTTTCTGAATATTTTTATTGAACCATGCAACAGTGCCAACATACAGATATGACCAGATAAGACATAAGTGTCATGGGGGTGGATCTTGAGGGAGGACTCAGTCGCGGAGGTATGAAGTTCAAAAGGTTTATTTATTGCAACAAAAAGCACTCAAAACGGAGTGCATGGCAGACAAGGATCAAAACAAGGCTGGCCAAACTATGAGCAAAGTAACAAAGCAAGGTTAACATGGCTGTGGCAAAAACAAGGCTCTGCCACAAAAAATAAGACTATGGCAAAGTGCATAAATCAAAGCCTTACGTGGCTAGGGGTGACGAAAAGTGACGGAGGACAAAACAATGACGAAAGACGAAAACACACTGGCACAGGACATGGGAAACGAGGACTATTTAAACACATGAGGGAGGGGAACCCCAGGTGAACACAATAGGTAATCAAGACATGACAATACACCAGACATTACCCCAGATAAAAAATAAGGACAGCAGCAAATGTTACGTCCTTTACCTTTGGAAAGCTCTTTTGTCTGAATCCTTTTAAAATACTTGACTGGCATTGGAAAGGGCAGCTACATGTGGGGTCAATTTAATTCGTTATTTTAATCAAAATATTAAAATAGTTAGTGGAGTGAAGCTCTGGAACAGCTTGCCTGAAAATATTAAACAATGTAATAGCATCCAGCAATTCGAAAAACAATATAAGAAAAGTATTTTTGATGAATACAAAAAAAGAATAATACATAAAAAGTTATACTGTTTGTCTTACTGTAATCGTCCTTTACCACCATGTGACTGAGGGGTAGGGCTTAATAAGCTTATGCTTCATCCTGCTCCTTTTTGAAACATGATGCATGTTTAGGAAGCATTCTATGTAAAACTTTGTAAAATCATATCATGTTTAAAAATAAACGAAATGAAATGAAAATGAAAATGAAATGAAAATTCACAATGCAGGTGAAGTAAGAGGTCCTGGCCGAGATTCAAAGATTTGAGGTGAGACTATAGTTGAGCCACATGCTTTTTAATGCTTTTTTGGCCCTGCAGTCCTCTGTTATAAGCAACTGGTGCTTTAGGTATTTAAGTAGGAGTTTTCCTTCAAGCGGGAAAACTCCTACTTAAATACGCTTCCATATATTTGCTGCATTCCAGTTCGTGTCTGCCCTCTAATTTACTTTGCGCTTCAGCTTTGATTTGCATTTTCTTTTTCACTGCTCACATCGTTTGAACAAAGTGCAGAAAGTTTAAACATGAGAGATTTTAGCTATGTCTTTGCACGGTGTTATAAGAGGAGGCAACAGTTAAATCATGGGGACAATGGGGGGTCTCAGAGTGGTTTCAATTATTTTGTGGTCGTTGTTTTTGTGTGGCTGGTATGTGGGACATGTTATGACAACTGTGGTCTCGAATAAACAAACACAGGCCAAACATACGTGTCATTTCAAATTGACGTTTTATGAATTTAGCATTTTGACTTGGAGGCCACGAGCTTACCAGGAATTCTGTTAGGTCCATAATTTAGTGATAATGCGAAGTAAGACATTACTGTCAGTTAATAAATTAACATTTGGGAAAAAAAATCAACATCATGCCACGTTGAGATGTTCTTAAAGCATCTAAAAACAGCAACAAGCTCAAAATATGTAGGAGTTTGACGGACTGATCAGGGTTAAAAGAAGAACATTTTACTTACACTTTGACCTGTTTTGACTCATGTTCCCTTTGACTCTTATAATTTGATCTGTTCTTCTGGGGGTTTTCTCACATGTTCAACCTCATCAGTGCCAAAATATGCAGGTTAAGGCCTCAAGAAATCACACTCCCTCTGGTTAAATTACTGTGTCAATACAAAACAGGTCCGATGTGACTGAGCACGTTTGGGAGAGACAGAAAATGGCTAATTAATATGGATTTGTAAAAACTAGTAGAGAGCTTCGGTGGAATTTAAGCCTGACGGGGGAACAAATGCTGTTAAATGAGCAACTGAGTAATGTTTTTTTAACAGTTTTTAAAGAGATGCCTATGTTCTTGGTCTTTTCTATCAAATGAATCAGTCACAGAGTCACATTCAAAAGAAAAATACAAACAAAGAGGATGTCTATGTTACAAAAAAGTCCAGCTAAACTTTAGGAATCTTTTTTGTTAAGCATCTATACATAATATTCAACATGATGCCACATTGAGATATACTTAAAGCATCTAAAAACAGCAACAAGCTAAAAAAATGTAGGAGTTTGACGGACTGATCAGGGTTAAAAGAAGAACATTTTTGTTTTTGCAAGACATTTTACATGTCTTGTCTTTTACATGTCAACATTTTACATTTTAGAAGAGACTCCATGAACTGATTGAGTCTCAGATGAATCCAGTTTTTTTGTCTCAGCAATCGTAGTCCTTCACCATGGTGAACAGAAAGGTGCATAAGCTGGTCCAGGAGGTGCTGCAGAACTCCCCTGCCAGCTTTCTGTTAGCAGGCCGACAGGATTTGACAGCTTCGGCCGCCACAGGTGGAACAAAAGGCGAGAAAGTCTCCTTTTTCTGAGCCACCTGGAGTCTGAAGTGAGCGCTTTGCGGGGCTTTTCTGCACATGCCGGCCTTCACCAGCGCACTTCTGCCGCCACACAGGTTCCTCTGCTTTTTCAGAGCTCTGGAGATCTGCTTCCAGTAAAGATCCCCGTTGGAGGCGTACTGGGGACAGGATCCCGGCCTGGCAGCGTACTCACACCTCAGGATCCCGTCTGCTTTCTTGCAGGTGATATTTAGGATGACGGGGTCTTCCCCGGTTGCAACCCAGGAACACTCTGCTTTGTCTCTAGTGAGGAGTTTGCCTTTGATCGGCCGTGCAGAGCCAGATTTGGGTGGGCGGCCCGCCTTTGGTCCGGTTCTTCCCTTCTTTCCGTGGCCCCTCTGACAGCTGCCCACCATCACATGGTGAGAAAAACAAGCCACGACCAGAAGGATGGCGACGTTGGTGAGCAGAGCCATGAAACCTGCACAACTCACTCTGAAAGAGGAAAGATTTTTGGATTTACAGATCTGCCCTCAAATCTCTTTAACTCCCTTTTTGGAGTGAAACCCATTCTAATCCTACTTAGGACCTGCATTTCTAAAGAAAACTCATAATTGGGGTTGATATTCATGACTGAAAGAAAAGGCTAGACAAGTAAGAAGTCATGAAAAAATATCTTAGGCCCATTCCAGAGTAAAAGATATAAGAAGAAGAAATATAAGAAGAAAACTTATACAGTAGATCGCTATAAATCTGTAAAAAAAAAACATTATCCTATTAGTTAAAGAGAGCAGAATCTAAATATGAGGCCAGAGCTAATTCAAGTTTAATCTGTAGAGGTATGGATAGCCACACACTAAGTCCTGACGACACCAAATAGTAGAAAATACTTCCTGAGACGTACCTGAAGTTTTCAGATAAAATGGTTTTCCGTCCTGAGAGCTGGAACGCCTTTACCTGCAGCTTTAAAGCAGCTGCTGTGTGATC